TTCCAGCTGTATATGTTTTTTAAACTGGGGTAAATAGAGTGGACTTGTTTGGGGCCAATTTAATGTTGAGGACCAACAGGGGGTTCCTCTGGCCCATCCAACCTTAGGCAGTGTTGTATCAAACCTTTGATTTAATCCCATTAATGTCCATTTTATTTCTCTCATCTTAAAATAACCACCTAAAGATTTATTTATCCATTTGGGACAAGCCCCTTTAAAATTTCCACCTGGTTGGGAAAAAGGTCTCTAGACTTCAGGTTTTTTTCTTAGTCTGTTAATCAATCGAATTAACATTAATTATTCTAATGTTTTCATTAGCATCTGTAAGACCCATTGAGGGAAAGAAGAGACCATAAATAGGATTCCCCAAATGGTTTTTCTTGTTTGTTTTAAACTAAAGGAGTTCTTAGGTTAACCATTAGATATATATTTTTTCCACCTCTTTTTAATAGGCACCAATAAAACAGCTGTTTATAATGAGAGGTCTCTAATTGACCAATTTAGAGTTTTTCCAATTTAAAGGATCCATCATCTACCATTGATGAGATATATCTTAACAGTGACTCAAACCAATAAGACACAAGAGGCTTCCCCACAAGCGAGTGTGAAGGGTGCCACCTAAACAAGATCCAGAAAGTTTATTCCCAAAAACAGTCTAAGAAAGTAAAGGCCTTCACTGTACTTCCTGATGCAAGGAAGTTAAAATGGTAAAAATCCCCTGAGAGTTGGCACAGACAAAAGACTGCTCAGAATCCCAGTCTAAGCTACTGGCGGCCAAAAGCACACCACATGTATACCTTTCGGATGGCAGAGACCGAGTTCTCAAAACATACATACACACATACACACATACATGTGGTGTGCTTTTGGCCGCCAGTACAGTTTTTGCCTGGTCATCAAAGAAACATGTGGCCCTGCGTTATCCTGATGGAAGAGTGTGCGTTTTCTGTTGACTAATTCCGGACACTCTTCACTGAGTGCTGCTTTCAGTTGGTCTAACTGGGAGCAGTACTTGCTGGAATCGTTTGGTTTTCTGGAAGGATCTCATAATAGAGGACTCCCTTCCAATCCTACCATATACACAATGTCACCTTCTTTGGATGAAGACCAGCCTTTGGTGTGGTTGGTGGTGGTTCATTTCCCTTGCCCCACGATCTCTTCCGTTCCACGTTATTGTACAGTATCCACTTTTCATTGCCCGTCACAATTTGTTTTAAAAACGGAATGTTTTCGTTATGTTTAGGTAAAGAATCGCATGCGGAAATACGGTCAAGGTTTTTTTCGCTTAACTTATGTGGAGCCCAAACATCAAAGCAATTAACATAACCAAGCTGGTGCAAATGATTTTCAGTGATTGATTTGGATATTTTGAGTATGTCAGCTATCTCCCAGGTGGTATAACGTTGATTGTTCTCAATTGTTCTCAATTAATGTCTCAATTTGATCACTATCAACTTTAACTAGTCTGACCGTCTTGGAGCATCGTCCAGCGAGAAATCTCCAGCAAGAAACTTCACAAACCACTTTTGACATGTTCGACCAGTCACAGCACCTTCTCCATACACTGCACAAATCTTTTTTTGCATTTCAGTTGTGTTTTTTACCTTTCTTGAAATAATAAAGCATAATATGCCAAAAATGTTTTGTTCTTCAATATTAAAATGGCTACACAAAAATTCACCAATTTTGATGTTTTTTTTTAAATGCACGCTGATATGACAGCTGTCACAATACAATCTAACATAATTGTTTCAAATGACATTAAAGACAATTAAGTGCTACTAGAGCCACCTTACAGAAAAAACTGAATGAACATTTTGGCCAACCCAATAAGTACTCGTAAGCTTTATTTTTTATTTAATGTTTTAAAAGTTTCTTTTGAAGTGGACCATTTTTAAAGCCTTTATTTGTTACAATATTACTTGGGTTTTTTTTTTTACGTTTTGGCTTTTTGGCTGTGAGGCATGTAGGATCTCAGCTCCCCGACGAGGGATCAAACCCACACCCCTTGCATTGGAAGGGGAAGCCTTAAGCACTGGACCACCAGGGAAGTCCTGGTACTTGTAAGTTTTATACGTACATAAACCTGTCTGGGATATTAGTTGGAAACTGGCAACCTGTTGTTCCTTTTTCTTTTGTTTTGGAAGCTTTGTTTCCCATTCCAAGGTTGGTTTGTTGAGATAACTTTTACTCCAACAAACTTTTTTTTTTTTTTTTTTTAACAAACTCTATTAAAGTAGCCAATTCAAGGAAAAATGATAGGCCAGTCTTCTACTTAATTACCCAGGCCAACCCTACTCAGTGTCTTTCAAATGAGCAAAGTCCTCCCAGTCTTTCAACTGAGGAAAAACCATTCAGTGTCTAAACTGAGCAAAATTTTCCCAGTGTCTTTCACTGAGGATAACACAGGTACCTCTTGAAACTAAGTTTCAAAGATAACCTACTCCTCCAGAGTTTAAACACCACTGAATAAAACCTAGGATCATCAGCCAATAATGGGAGGTCCAAGAACCAGGAAAGACTCACCCAAATTCGTCTGGACCCTCTGACGAGGTGGAGGTGCATGGACCAAAGAGGCCTCTGCTGGTACCAAGCTCCAGATCCTCGTAGAGTTCAGGTGAAGAAGACAAGTCTGCTCTGGGCCCTTCATGGTCACCAAAACCGTCAACTGAAAAAAAAAAAAAAAAGCACAACCTAAAAGTTGAGAATTATGTTTTATTTAGCAGATTTTCTGAGGACTTAAACCCAGAAGATAGCCTCTCAGACTGCGCTGAGGGATTGCTCCAAAGAAGTCAGGGAGGAACCAGGGTATACAGGGGTTTTTGCAACAAAAATCTTCCAAAAGATTATGTTAAAGAAAACCGGACATCTCACATTAATGAATTTAGCACTTTTCTAGGTATGGGAAGATGCAAGGGTCTGGGTTAACTGAAATCATTCCTTTGAAACGCACCTTAACTATCTAAGCCCAGTATCCTGATTTTCTCCATCCCATATGCCTTCAGGGTGCACAGTCGCGGGGAGGGGGGGGCGGCAGCAATGGCTGCTGGCTTGATGTCTGCAACATCCTTTGTTTACTGATATGGCAGGTGACATTTTTCATCCACACCAGAAACCACGTCACCTTTCAATCCCTTGGTAATCGCGCCTTGCTCTTGCCCTGTCCTCAGGAGCAAAGGTTGAAGCCACGCTTCCTCCCCTTCCCCGCCACAAACAAGCAGCATCCTCAGTGGGTTGCTCCACCCTGAAACATCCCTGTCTGCAACCCACTCAAAGCAAGTTCAGTGTCATCTCTGACCTCACCACAATCTTTGAGGAAAACAAAAAATAACTCCTAATGGTACGATGTGGTGTATTAGAAAGGGCAGTGACCCAGTGGCTGGGGCAGCATTCTGGTCCCCCTGGACTCTGGGGAAATCTCTTCACCTGTCTAGGTGGGGCTCTACCTCTTCCTCTGTCAAGTGGGCACAGTGGCCTTGATAATCTCCTACGTCTCTTGAGAGGCTAAAAGTCTAATTAAAATTTGAAAATTCAAGTGCACTAGAGAGAGACCCATAATGAAGGTCATGTCATATGAGAAAAAGTTGAAGAAATGGGGCCTTCGGGCTTCCCTGGTGGCCCAGTGGTTGAGAGTCCGCCTGCCGATGCAGGGCACACGGGGTCGTGCCCCGGTCCGGGAGGATCCCACATGCCACGGAGCGGCTGGGCCCGTGAGCCATGGCCGCTGAGCCTGTGCGTCCGGAGCCTGTGCTCCGCAGCGGGAGAGGCCACGGCGGTGAGAGGCCCGCGTACAGCAAAAAAAAAAAAAAAAAAAAAAAAAGGAAATGGGGCCTTCTAAGAGTCTGTAAAACAGAAAGACATATTTCATAAAATCATGGATTCTTAATGTTGGAGGAGGCCTTAGAGCTGTTTTTCCAAACCCTAACGTGCACACGAACCACTTGGAGAGCCCCTTGAAATGCAGACTGTGATTTAGTAGGTCTGGGAGGGGGTTGTTTTCTCCAGGAACCACACTTGGAGGACCAAGCCTCTACGGTATATCCGTGGTTCTCACCATGACAGCTCATGGGGATCACTTGGTTCTTACCTTGATAGCACATGGGGATCACTCCAGAAGCCTAAAAAAAAAAACTTATGCCTGGGCTTCCTGCCGCCCCTCCTTCCCCCGCCGACGAGATTCTGATTTATTTGGGAGGTTCCAGAACTCCCCGGTGATTCTAATCTGCAGCCAGGTCTGAGAAACCACTCCCCTAGACCAGCGCTTCTCAACTTTAGCACAGATCATCATCACCTGGAGGGCTTGTTAAAACACAGCTCACAGGGCGCCAACGCAGAGATTCTGACTCAGCAGTTCTGGGGTGCAGCCTCAAATCTGCATTTCCAACAAGCTCCTAGGTGATGCTGACTCTGCTGGTCCGGTGGCCTTAGAGGTCATCTAATTTCACAGCGATATTTCCCATGTGGGAAACCAAGATGAAATGACCCTCTCAAGGTCTCTTTGTACCGTATCTCCCGACCCCGGTCCGGAGCTATTTCCCCTGCCAATCCTTCCAGCTTTCCCTTCGCGTCCCGCATTCCTCCTCAAGTCCACTGCTGAGCCGCTAAATGCCAGCACGGACCGGTGCTCTGGGGCTTCGGGCCCCTTGTGTTGGGAGGCCCTTGAGCTGTCCCCACCTGGACAGTCCCACGCGAAGACCTGCGGGCTGGCTCTGCCGCTGCCGGGGACGCCGCACGCTGGGCTCGAACGCGTCCCTAGCCTTCTGCGAGCTCTCCCGAAATGGGTCGGAGGCGGAGCCCGCGTGAGGGGCGCGAGACGCCAGGAACACTACTGGGACCCTCGGGGAGGGTTACCATGGCAACCGACGCCCTCCCACTTGGTGATCCGACGCCCAAGCCAGGGCGGCCCGGACCGAAGAAGGGGATTGGTGCGCCAGGGGGCGGGATTGCGGGCAGAGACTATAAAGGCGCCGCGCGCGCTGCGCTCCACTTTCTGTTCCGCGCTCCCGGACTTCTGGCCACGTGCAGCTGCAGCTCCAGCTCCGGCGCCGCAGCAGCGCGGCACCTCTGGGCGGCTGCGTCGGAAGGTCAGTGCGGAGGCGGCCGGACGCTTCCCCGGCGGCTGACCCCGGGGGCTGAGCCTCTTCAGAACCGAGGCTGACTGTGCAGGTCCTCTTGACCACATGGCCCCCGCTGGCCCGATCGGTGTGACGCGGCGCGGGTCTGGAGACCCAGCGATCCCGAGCGCGAGCGAGGGTCCCCAGCAGTCACCGCGGAGCTGGGAGGCCGGGGGAGGGCCGGGGCACTGCTGGGGTCGCCAGGTGCGGCTCCCGGCCCTTCCTACTTTTCTGAAGGGCACACCCTGCCAGAGAATAGGGGCGGGAGCGGCTGTTTCATAAAACCGGTTTATCCAGCCATGCGGGGAGGCGGAAGCCGGAGACCCGCGTGCGGCCCAAGTCCCCGCGTCTTCTTGGGTTCCCTTTCCCGGGCCGGCGCGCGTAATAGGGAGTATGGGGGCGCCCGCTCCGCGAAGCCAGATCTCCCTCTAAAACCCTCTATGTAGCTCACACTGAGAGCTCCGGGATTTTTTCCCCCGACCCTTTCTGGCTTTCGGATCAACCCCACCTTAAGTCTAGACTTTACCAGCTGGTTGATGGAGTCTTTACACTGACTGAGCAGTTTGCTAAGTGCTTTTCTAAGTTGCTTTTATTAAATCCTCCCAGCAGTCTAATGTGGTGGTCCGATCATTTTCCCCTTTTCTAAGGATGGGGAAACTTGAGGTTTGGCGAGGTAGTGTACGCAGGCTCGCACGGCGAGCGAGGGAGGGCCGTGTCTGGCCTTGAACGCCCTCGGCTCGAGGGTGCTCTCCTCCTGGGGAGCGGTGAGGAGGAGTAGCCGAGCTGTAGGGGAGGAGGGGCGGCGGGGAAGGTGCCCCCTGCGCCACCACGAGGATGTTTCCTCTGTCCTCTCTCTTAGGTACCTGATGTTATCTCTTGTCTTGAGTGAGAAGAGTTGGGGTGATGGAGGGAGGGTTTGAGACTCAACGGACCTGGTTTGCAACCCCTCCTTTTGGTAATTAGCATCTGCCCGACCTTGGGCGCGTCAAAATTCCTTCTGCAAAATGGAGAAAAGATCCCAGCTTCAGAGTTACTCTGAGGCTTAAATAAGAGTTCAGGAAAGCAGGTGCTTCGTCAGCGCTCAGTAGTTGAGGTGCCTGATTTTTCCTTGGGTCATTACTATGAAGAGGGCACGTTTGCTTTTATGATTTAATGAACTGGAGGATGTAAAGCGGAGACTGCCTTGCAAATGTGTCTTAGAAGCGTTATTAGTCTCCGGGGCCAGGAAGTTGTCAACTGGGCAGTGGCTGACCTTTGGTGAAAGCAGTTCCACTGGGTGCAGAGTAAGAGGACCCACTTGGAGGGGCAGGGAACTCTCTGGAGATCCTTGAGATGGGAAGGAAAGGTAAAGGCTGGAGGAGAATAATAGGTTTCAGCAGGTTTATAAGCAGAGGGAAAAGAACCATTTAGGGGGTTCGGTGAGACAAGGGCTGGGGAGTTTGGACGGGACGGGGGTTTGATGGGTCTCTGGGGTGGCGTTAATCTCCACTGGGCGAATTTTCTAGCTCCTCAGTAGTATATGTATGCACTGACCATTTCTTGGGGCTGGATTTTTTAAAAAAATTTAAGTTGTGGCTTCAATTACATAACAAAATTTACCATCTTAACCATTTTTAAGAGTACAATTCAGTACTGTCAGGTATATTCACAGTGGATCTCTAGAACTTTTTTATCCTGCAAAACTGAAGCTATGCCTGTTAATTGAATACTCGTATCCCCTCCCCCTTGTTCCCACCCCTTGGCAACTACCTTTCTACTTCCTGTTTCTGTGAATTTTTTGATTACTTTAGATAACAGGTATAACTCATATGAATGGAATCATACTGTATTTGGCCTTTTTAAATATAAATTTATTTATTTGTGGCTGCATTGGGTCTTTGTTGCTGCGTGCAGCTTTCGGCGAGCGGGGGCTCCTCTTCGTTGCGGTGCGCGGGCTTCCCATTGCTGTGGCTTCTCTTGTTGCTGAGCACGGGCTCTAGGCACGTGGGCCCAGTAGTTGTGGAGCACGGGCTCTAGAGCGCAGGCTCAGTAGTTGTGGCGCACGGGCTTAGTTGCTCCGCAGCATGTGGGATCTTCCCGGACCAGGGGTCGAACGCACGTCCCCCGCACTGGCAGGTGGATTCTTAACCACGGTGCCACCAGGGAAGCCCACATTTGGCCTTTTGTGACCAGTTCATTTCACTCAGCATAATGTCCTCCAGGTTCATCCATGTTGTTGCATGTGACGGGATCTCCTATTTCAAGTCTGAATAATATGCCATTGTATGTATATACCACATTTTCTTTATCCATTCATCTGTTGGAGGCTGGATGCTTCTAGCTTCATGCTAAATGTGCTGGAGACATTAATACATCTTTATTTACTGTCTCCGTGGTTGAGGATGATTAGAGCTAGAAATTTGGGGAAAACACAAGACAGCAAGAATATTAAGGGAAATTGATGGCGCATTCTCAGGGAAAGGGCCTATTTCGTTGGTTTTCAATATTTCAAATTGGAGTTTCTTTTAATATTTCTGAAATAGAAGTATCTGTCTTCAGAGCAATTGCAATTGAATTAAGGTTTTGTTCCCCAAGAAACAGAAGTAATGTTTTCTGACAACAGGGGGCATTCTGTTTATTGTGATGTAGACAAACCCCTGTTATTTCTTGGTTTCTTCTTCCTGCCTACCTGTTTGACATGGTGGTTGAGTTCTGACATGCATCAGGCACTGCTAGGAACTGCTCAGTGGGACTCACAGCTCCATGGGAAAGGCAGCCATACTGGCTCCTGGCACCTAAAACCAACATGTCCAAAACCAAGCTCGTTTGTCTTCTTACCTGACCTGCTCCTCCAGAAAGCCCGTGCTTACAGCAGCACAACTTGGAAGGCTGTGTTATTCTCCTCCATTCCTTCACAAGTTGCCCCACATCCAAGCAATCAAGGCCAGTTGGGCTCTGAGTCTGTATCTCTATCACCTCACTGTCTTCCTGATGCCACTGCTTTCTTAGAGTTCTGCTCTGGTAAGTGCAGAAAGGGTAAATGCCGGGAGATGGGAAGAGTCATGTAACGGAGGCTTGGGCCGGGGAGACGCTCCATTATTTAAGGAGGAATGTCTGTTGGCCAGTTTCTTTTTCATCCCTTGGAGTTAAAGTAAGCAAGGTGCTTAGGGGAGAAGGTCTACGGACTCTCATCTGATCTTCAGTCATCTTTGACCGTTCCCCTGTATAAGTTTAATAACTAGCTTGGCAAAGCAAGTTTTACTTTAGAACAGCTGTCCTCAAGTGTGATCTGGGGAGCCCTGGGGTTCCTTGAGACCTCTGTAGGGTCCATGAAGTCAAGGCTATTTAAAAAAAAATACTAAGAGACTGTCTGCCTTTTTCATTCTTTCTCTCTCAGGTGTATGGTGGAGTTTTCTAGAGGCCAAATGGCTTGTGATGAGCTTCTCCTCTGATGGCTAATGAGACGTGTGCTTGTGTACTCTTGTGTTTCTAGAATCTTCTAAGGATGGTAGGCTCACAGTATAAATATGTGCATTTTCAGAGACGAACTCTGTTTGTTCTTAGTACTTCTTTGCATTCTTACTAGCTACCTGCAGTTATAGCTGCTATCATCTCTGGGGCCTGTTTTCTTTCAATAAGTCATTACTTTGAAATCCCTAAATTGAGTCTTGTGGGTATATGGAAAAAGAACAAAAAGTTTATAGTCTTGACTTTAAAACTTTTCTAAAATTTTAAATGGTATAAAAATTCTTTTGAACTTAATATTTTATTCTAACATAAAAGGATATTAATTTATATATTTTTTATATTTAAGGATAGATCAATGGTTTAAAAAGGGGGATATTAGAGGACTCGATTTTGTTCAACTCAGAGCTGTACCATGTGTATAAATGCTGAAGAAAAAATGAAACAACGACATAACGGAGTTCTCTGACTCATGAAAAGAGGAATTTACTCCAAATAAATGTGCAGAACTAAATAATACATGAAAATATGAAGGCTTTCGTCAAGTTTTACCGATGTCAGAAATTTACCTTATGTGTCTGATGCCACAGAACTTTTTTGAATAGTATTTTGGTCGCAATAGCATTATTCTTAGACCAACCATTCATCATCTAAAGAAAAATAAAACAAATGAATTAAATGTAGATATGATGAGCTCTTTAAAAGGCAAAAATTATTTGGTACAGCTTTCCAAACTAGAAAAGAAAAAGCTATTAAGATAGGTTATCAAATTGCAGTGGCTGGAGAAACACACAATAAAACCTTGTTTGGATGAAAAAGCATTGAAAGAAATAATAGCACTGCCACTTTCTAATAATACAGTAACTTGTTAAATTAAAGATTTAGCTGCAAACATGAAGACTAGTTTGGTATCTTGCAGAGAAGTGTATTTTTTCCTTACAAATGGAAGAATTTGTAGTCATGGTTGCACTTGCCATTTTGTTTGTATTTATCTGGTATCAGCGCCAAAGGAATTATCAAAGAATATCTTTTTGGTGAACGTTTGACAGAAAACACAAATAGTGCCAAAGTATTCAGTGTGGAATAACTTTTTTGAATTTCATGGTTTATTCCGGAACAACTGTGTTGAATTTGCACTGACGGTGCACAAGTCACACCTGCTAAAAGTACTGGTGCCTTTGCAGGAATCAAGGCAGTGGCACCATGTGGTACTAGAAGTCATGGTATTCTTCACTGCCATGCACTTTCAGTGAAAAATAAAATTAAAAAATGGAAAGCTTTACTTAAGAATGCCCTTTATGAAGCAGTAGAAATGACTGATTTTATTAAATCTTGACCCTAGAGACATCTTTTTAACGTGTCATGTGGTAAGTGGATGTACTTGTTCCATATTGAAATATGATGGTTGTCTTGAGAGAAAGCCTTTTGTGTGATTGAATTGTGAACCGAACTGGTCCCTGTTTTTCATAGAGAACCATTTTTGCTTGAAAGAATGACCGACAAACGATGGTTATTCATACCTGGATAATCGGCATACATTTTCTAAAAAAATGAACCAAGCGAGCCTGCCAAGGTATTTGTTGCAAGTTAAGTTGTATCCACTACCGTGAATTTGACAGCTTCCCAATACTTAGGAATCTTCTGATGAGATCAGTGAGAGCAACCAGTATGACTTTTGGGTATTGTACAGTGAAGTGTGTTAACCGTTGGAAGCTCTGCATAACTTACTGAACCAATATTTTCCGAAAAACAATGTATGAAATTACAAAACCATGCAGGAGTAAAAGATGTGTTCAAGGGACTTTCCTGGCGGACCAGTGGCTATGACTTTGCCTTCCAGTGAAGGGGGTGCAGGTTCAATCCCTGGTCCGGGAGCTAAGATTCCTGCATGTCTTGCAGCCAAAAAACCAAAACATAAAACAGAAGCAATATTGTAACAAATTCAATAAAGACTTTAAAAATGGTCCACATCAAAAAAATCTTTTAAAAAAAAGATGTGTTCAAAGCATTAGATATACCAGTGGGTTTTAATGTAGCAGGTACAAAAGTTCACTGATAATGGCTTCAGATTCTACGTTGCAACTAACCTTGAAGAAACTAGCATGTGTTGAGTTTTGGATATCCAAGATGAGTATCCAGAATTATCTGAAAAGGCTTTCAAAATACGGCTTCCTTTCCCCACTGCTTTGCTTTGAGTCTTGGTTTTCTTCATTTACTTCAGTCAGAGCAGCAGACAGACTGAGTTAGAAGCAGATGTGAGAATCCAGCTGTTTTCTATGAAGGAAAACATCAAAGAGACAAGTAAATGTAAAACAGTGCCACTCAGTAAATGTTTTGTTTTGGAAAATACAGTTATTTTCATAAAATATGTTTATTGGTTTTAAATGAACTCATTCATAGGTTAAATGTTTCTCAGTTTTGCTGTCTACTACAGCAAACATTGTTAGATAGGCCCCCACTTAAACAAAAGCTCTCTGTAGTCCCCAATTTTTAAGAGTGTAAAAGAGTCCAGAGACCAGAAAATTTGAGAGCTCCTGCCTTAAAAGTATTAAATTGAGTTTGGCAGTGGCAAGATAATAATCTTGACTTGAAAAAGCTACATGCGGTAGATGGTTGGAGGGTTTTTTGGGTTTGTTTTTAATGTACATGCATTGTTAATCAAAGCAATCCCATTATAGGGACAGTAGAGCTGCTTGACGGTTAAGAACTGGGTTCCCTGAGAGGGGTGGTGCTTGCCATGGTTAAATGCTATAATTCAGAAAGACATTCACAGGCCTCTGGCCTGTCGTGAACATCAGATGTTAGCTAGTAATAGTAGTGGAATAAGAACCAACTCAAGCATGAATTGTCCACATTGTTAAACTAAAATACTTTATATTCAATTAAGAATTTGTGCCTCCTTCATGCTTTCCCCTTCTGGGGAAAGAGAAGATGAACTGAGTCGTACGTATTTCACATCCCTGTTTCATGTCTTCAGGGTTTACCTTTTCCCAGACTCCAGTGTCTTCAACCTTTAAAAGAAAAAAAAAAAAAAAAAAAAACCAAACTTCTTCACCTGTGGCCATCACTACTTTGCTTCTGGGAACTGAGAATTGTCTTTGAGTTTCAGATGTTCTGGTAAATCTGGCTGCTTCTTGGCTTCCTCGCCATCCTCTTGAACTTGCTGAAATAAGTGACTTTAAGAATCAAAGTTCTTACCTGGTCTCGGGTGTCAGCAGTGGCTACAAAGATGGTTTGAAGGGATGATGGAAGAAAAGCTGGGGTCTCTCCTATGGCGACCTCCGTTCCAATCCGGAGATGTGCCATCAGAAGGTTGTCTTCTGCTTGTTTGGGAGAGTTAGCTGGGATGCAGGGCCTCAGGACCTTGGCGGGGCTGCGTCTCAGGCTGCGGATCTGATGGGCCAAGCCCCTGACCCGACAGAAGCCATCGGGGCTCTTCCCCGCCTTATTTCGGTGTCCTAAAGAACAGGACCTCTGTGGCTCACAAAAGGGTGTTCAAGCATAGGGTTTCAGCAGATTCTATTGCCCTTTTGTTTTCTATAATCTGGATTTTAGGGATTGCAGGAAAGCTTCTGATACCTCTGGCGGTTTTAACTGAGAATTACTGTTACCTACTCAAGGCACTGGGTTGAGGGGCTAAGTTCAGACCCTAAATGTCTCCAAGTGTGGTTTACTTTTTCTTGTTTTAGGATGCAAAATAGAAGATGGTTGAGATCTGGCCACTTCTCTGTGAGGGGGTTGGGCACTGGGGTCGCTCTGAAGGCTCATCCGCCAGTGCTGTTGGAAATCTGACGGCTGACGGATGTGGAGGCCATGGACAGTGTGCAGAGTGCAAAGGCCTGAGCTTTGGGGGCAGGAAGGTCGCTGTTAGAACTGAGCAGCTCTGATCTGCTCTTGTGACATGCTTACCTGGGTAAAGCTGACTAGGAAGGGGAGCTGGACTGCAATGAAATATACATGATCTGGGAACAGAGGAGAAAATGGCTTTTCTAAATGATCCTTCCTGAAGAGTTGGCAGTGAAACAGAAATTAGTCACCGCTTACTCAGTATTGCCGGGGGCCTTTTCACCTTAACTCTCTGTTTTTCTAGTCTGGTTCATCCTACCGATAACATCTGAGTTAGCACGAGAGTCACAGGGCTCTGTGTTATTTAATCGGGGACCTGTTCACTCCTCGATGGTACGTGGACAGGTGATTACAGCTGTGAAGATCTGAGGCCTTTGCGGGGATCCATGATGTTCCTGCCGTGGACGGCTCTGTACGCAGGAACCTCCGCCGTGACTTTAGATCCCAGTTGGTGTCAGCCCTGTGCGGCTCCAGTTCTAAATCTCGGCCCGTCTTTGTTTGCCTGCACTTTGCACCAGTGACGTTTATCCCCTTTTCACAGGGCTGGGCTCACGGGGCGGGCTCTTGACTGGCTCCCTGTCTGTGCAATCAGTAGTCTCTCTAGCTCGATTCATGAATCCAGAACGTGGCTTTCCTCGTGAGCCAGCGATCTTAGTGTTAGTTGTGGTTAAAGGGTTTGTGTTTTGAGGGGTCGGGAGGGTAAGCAGTTACATACTGAACTCTGCTTCTTTTGTTTGTTTTTTAAAATTCTATTGACATATAGTTGATTTACAGTGTTGCGTTAATTTCTGCTATACAGCAAAGTGACTCAGTTATACAGATATATATATATTCTTTTTCATATCCTTTTCCATTATGATTTGTCACGGGATAGTGAATATAGTTCCCCGTGCTATACGGTAGGACCTTGTTCTTTGTCTATCCTATATATAATAGTTTGCCTCTGCTAATCCCAAACCCCCATTCCTTCCCTCCCCTGCCCAGCCTCCCCACTTGGCAACTATTGATACAAGTCTGTTCTCTATATCTGTGAGTCTGTTTTGTTTCGTAGATATGTTGATTAGTATCATATTTTAGATTCCACATATAAATGATATCATGTGGTACTTGTCTTTGTCTAGCTTACTTCACTTAGTATGATAATCTCTAGGTCCATCCATGTTGCTGCAAATGGCATTATTTCATTCTTTTTGATGGTTGAGTAATATTCCGGTGTGTGTGTGTGTGTGTGTGTACACACACACACACCACATCTTCTTTATCCATATTCATCTGTTGATGGACTCTTAGGTTCCATGTCTTGGCTAGTATAAATAGCGGTGCAGTGAACATTGGGGTGCATGTATCTTTTCTCAACTCTGCTCCTTTCGTGTTGCAGTGTCTGCAGAGATCATGCCGGTCGTTTGGATGCTGCGGCGGGTTGCCAGCCGGATGCTACAGAGACCGGCCTGTGGCTGCCAGGCTCCTGTCCTGCCCAGCCGGTTTCTGGGCACCTCCCCTCAGCAGATTCCAGCGGATGCCAACTTCCACTCTACCTCGTTCTCTGAAGCAGACCAACCGCGTGTCTTAATCACAGGTTGGGTTTTTTTTCTTTTTTCCACATTTGTGGCTTTGTTATTTTCTTTGTGTGCCGGTGTATTTGTTTTTGGAATGTCTAACATGCCGCCAGGTAACACTTATTAATCAGAAACTCCCTTTTCCACTCCTGGCTCCCTCCGAAATAGCACAAGTCCCCTGTCCTTATTTTGCCGCTGTTGCCAGGGCTTGGTTTCCCTGCCCAAATCTTTTATTGTCGGAAGGGAGGATCTGGGAACCTGAAGAGGCCCAAAAAGCTGCTGTGCGACTCAGTTCCCCTTTCCTGCGAGGAATGGCCTGGGAGCCAAGGTGTGTGGATAGAACGTGGCCTCTGGAATCAGGCTCATCTTTCCTTGGCCAGGCTTCTCAGGCCAGGCAGTTCCTGCACATTTGTATGGAAGAGACAGCCAGGGCCTGCCCAGGGCCCGAGGAACGCCTCACCATCACCTCGTGACACTTGCGGCTTACTGTCCACGGACTGGCCCGCTGACCCCTCTCCCCTCGTAGCCACCCAACACCTGGTTCTGTATCTGCTCACTGCAAACTTGACCGTCCGTCCGCAAGTCCTTCCAGCTGACTCAAGCCCCCCTCTGATTTGACTGACGTGTTTTATTGTCCTCTGTTTGCCAGAGTTTCATCCCTTGGCTTCACGTCCTTATCCTTCTTACATTCCTCAGTGTGTGTGTTTCTTTCACTGGCACCTCCTCTTCCTCTCCTGCTGTAACTGGGTTTCAAGTGAGGCCAGTTCCCTCTGCGCTTCCCCCTTGACTCTCCCAGCTTCTTGTCTGTGTGTTGTTTGATTCCCTCCTCCCTGCACCAACAAAGCATCTTCCAGGGCCCAGTGTTACCGTCAGTGGGCTGGTTTCAGTCCCATGTTAACACACGCTTACAGGAAATCCCACTGTCCATATCTTCCTGCCTCTTACTCTCTCCCAAATGGAATCTAAGCTTGTATTGCCCTAAATGTGCTCCCAGACCCCTAGCTCTCCCATTTCCATCAATGGCATTTGGAAGCGTCCAAATTAAGATGCTGTAATACTCATCTTTAATGTTCTGAGCAGCTCCTTGCCCATCCAGATACCTCCCCCTTTTTTCAGGTGACTTCTTGGTTTGTCCCTTCTTTCTTTCTCCCTTCCTGTTCCTCTCCAGGTCTAATGGAAGGAGGGTGCTCTGCATAATCTCAGCAGAGGTTGATATCAAACTATTATATCTAGCTTTGAGTGTTCTGGTACCCGTAGCAGATAATTTTCACAGCCCATCAAATAACAAAGGCGAAGCTCGTAGTGATTTCCTGACCAGGAGGTCAGGAAGGTCCTGCTCTTCTTACCTGTACCCTGGCTTCCCCTCAGCCACTCTGTGCTGGAGAGCACTTTTGTCTCTGGAACTAATCTTACCTGTACCCGATCTCTGTCATAGCTCCGAGGAGTTAATTCCGTTCTATCAGGCCAACCTGGGGCTTTACCTAGTTAGCTAAGAGTGCCAGTAGAGTTTTCTTCTATTATTACATACTGGGAATAATTGAATTGGTTAGATTTAGATTAAAGATTCACTTTTTTCTTCTTTATCCAGGGGGTCTTGGCCAACTTGGAGTGGGGCTTGCTAGCTTTTTGAGGTAAGAGCTCGCAAAGTTTCAATTTAAATTCTGAGCTTTTCAGGGCTTGTCTTTGGCCCCATGTAACCATTGAATCTTTTCTCTCCCCTCTTGCTTCTCTCCCCTCTTGCTTACGTTAAGATATCGTATGTAAATGACCATTTGGAATGCATTTCATTGTGCCTCTTCATATCACAGACATTGTTTCAGGTCCTTGACTCAGCATCCCCCAAGCTGGTCCTTCGCCCTCTGCCTTTCCTAGGTTAGGCAAAGTAAGACCTGCCTCCCAGTAAATCACTTGGTTTTCAGGTGTTTGGGGGCAGAGGGAAGTATTGTATGTGTAGAAACTAAAAAGGAACAGTGTGGGATTTGGAGAGTGGGATAAAAGGATAAGAGGAGAGAAGAACAGGGAGGCAAAATGAAAAACTCAGGGGCACTGGGAAGAAATTGGTGACAGATACCGGGATGATAACGGGCTGAGGTAGAAGCAGGAGGTGCAGCCCTGAGTGTGGCTGCAACTGCAGGGCTGTGAGTTGAGGACAAGAGGGAAGAAAGGTGTGAAGAGGAGGGATTTGGAGGCTGACGGGACATGACAGTTCCTGTTGGAAAGACTGTTTTCATAGGACCTGTTATGTCCTCCGTGTACCAACTCGTGTGTTTGATTTTCCCTTTAGGAAACGATTTGGGAAGGACAACGTGATTCTGTCTGACATTCGGAAGCCCCCTGAGCACGTCTTCCTTAGTGGTACGAGGCTCACAGAGCAGCTAGAGAGGCAGCTCCCAGAATCGGTGTCACCGCTCATAACCAGGCTTGTGAATTAAAGAAAGAGGAGTATTTGAGGCACACCTGTGCCACTTAAAAATGTTTCATGGTTTTGTCCTCATTAGTTCTGTAAAAAGCCTACGGTACAGCTACTGCTTATTCAAGGGATCCAAGGACAGGAGAGTTCTTCAGACCTTGACATGAAGTTGTGGAATAGTATCTTTGGATATTATTTGGAGCAGTATCTGTGGAATAAAACTGATTCCTATCTTTCAGAGTTTTTAGTGAACTTAGCTCAGAGAGAAAGCAAACAAAAATCAAGTTCTGAAATGAGGAAAAGGAACTTTAAATTTTGGAGAAATTAATCCTCATATTTCAACGTGAACTTGTTCTTAAACTACTGTGCACACACACAGACCCCAGACTCCTCTAGTCAGGTTGTCTACACCTCAAAGATGTTTTTATAATTCCAGTTCTTCCTGGTTCTGTGTCAGCCTTTTGCTGTTTACCATGGGGAAGAGCAGTCATTTGCTGAAAGTGGGGGAAATTGGCACAAAAAATCGGCTCTGCCTCTAGCCTAACCAGGTGTGGCGAACTCTTAATTTATAGTTCTTTTATACCATGGTGGGTTTTTTGTTTTTGTAAACCCATTTCTCTATTCCTTTAAAATATGCAACTTTTTTTTTTTTTTTTTTTTTTTGCTGCACCACGCGGCATGCGGATCTTCCCCAACCAGGGATTGAACCCGTGCCCCCTGCACTGGAAGCGCAGTCTTAACCACTGGACCACCAGGGAAGTCCTGAACTATGCAACTTTTTTTTTTTTTTTAAAGGGAACGCTATTTATTTATTTATTTTGGGCTGTGTTGGGTCTTTGTTTCTGTGCGAAGGCTTTCTCTAGTTGTGGCGAGCGGGGGCCACTCTTCATCGCGGTGCGCAGGCCTCTCACTGTCGCGGCCTCTCGTTGGGGAGCACAGGCTCCAGACGCACAGGCTCAGTAGTTGTGGCGAGCGGGCCTAGTTGCTCCGCGGCATGTGGGATCTTCCCAGACCAGGGCTCGAACCTGTGTCCCCTGCATTGGCAGGCAGATTCTCAACCACTGCGCCACCAGGGAAGCCCTATGCAACTTTTAAGCAGGGTGAAATCTCTGTGTGCCTATAGGTTTGGCAACTCAAGCCAGTTGCCTGGTCATTACTCCAGTTCTTAATTTTGTTCTGTTTGATACTGGCAAGCTACTTAGCCTCTTTATGCCTCAGTTTCCTCATCAACAAAATATCCGCCTCGAAGGCTGTGAGAGTTAACTATACAGAAAGCCCTTAGAACAGCACCCAGCAGGTGTATGTCCTGTATAAGCGTTAGCTGCTGTTAGCCGTGGGGTGGCTGGGATTTGTTATTCTCCGTAAGGAAAATGCTGGGGAGTGTCCAAGTTGTTGTTATCAAGTCGGTACCAGTGGAATTCAAAGTCAGCGGGGGAGGGGAAAAGATCTGTTGAGCTTTTCAAGCCCGGAACTCTTTTACTTCCTGGTTTCACTGCTCCTTGCAGGCCCGTTTATTTATTCCGACATCCTGGATTACAAGAACCTGCGGGAGATCGTGGTGAACAACCGTGTCACCTGGCTGTTTCATTACAGCGCTCTGCTCAGTGCAGTGGGAGAAGCAAACGTATCCCTGGCCAGAGCTGTGAACATCACTGGTGAGTCTCTGGATCTTGCCCCAGATGAGCCGTCTGCCAGATTTCCCAGTTCTTTGGGAAGAGGTTTCCCAGTTTATGACATCTGCTTGTTTCAGGACTGCACAATGTCCTGGACGTTGCCGAGGAGCACGGTCTGCGATTGTTTGTGCCAAGCACCATCGGGGCGTTTGGACCTACTTCTCCGCGGAACCCAGCCCCCGATCTCTGTATCCAGAGACCCAGGACTATCTACGGGGTGTCCAAGGTCCACGCGGAGCTCATGGGCGAGGTAAGCATCACTTGGCAAGATGACTCAGTGTTTCCTTTTCTATTTCTGCCTCAAACACCTGGTTCATCCTTGGAGGGGACTCTCTCCCTCCCTTAATCTCTGCCCCCAGAAATGCTCGGGGACTGAGTGTGTTTGCCAAGTGGTCAGTACCGACAGCTCCAGAGGAATCCTCAGTCCTGTGCAAACACAACACTTCGTACACGCCCCTCGAATGGCACCCCATCTTTGGTTTGCTGCCCATCTTATTTGTACTGCACTGTTCTTTCAGGTTCCCAATATTGGTAGTTATCAGAGGTAATTTTAAAATAACCTCAGACATCTTTTTGGTTTTATTTATTAATACGCTTTGTCTTTATAACTCTATAGCACATTTTAGCCGGTTTCTGATCCTTCATCTAATATATCACAGTCACCATCTTTCCCCGTACTCTTCCCCGCACTGCACCGCAGGACAGGCTTGTGGAGATTTGTTCAGGACTGTGTGCAGGGTCTCCCTTCCAAAGAAAGGCTGGAAATCCTTACTCTCGGCTGATCTGTTATTTACAGTGTTATCTAGTGACGTTATCAGCAGAACGACGATTCTTTGAAGATGAAAACTTCAGGGTTATTTCTTAAAAATGAGTGACTGTTAGCAATTCTAGAGCCTTCATTTCCTTGAGGAGGATTTATTTTTATTTATTTATTTATTTCCACTTAAAAAATATTTATTTGGCTGCGCGGGATCTGTTTTTTTTTTTTTTTTTTTGGTTGCAGCATGTGGGATCTAGTTCCCTGACCAGGGATTGAACCTGTGCCCCCTGCATTGGGAGCACAGAGTCTTAGCCACTGGACCACCAGGGAAGTTCTACGAGGATTTTAATATGACTATGGGATGAAGTTTCAGGAGAAGGCTGTTATTTCTTTGCATTGCTCTACCTGATTTAAAAGATTCTTTTTAAAGTAAGTTTTCTCTTTTTTGTAGTATTATTATTACCGGTATGGGTTAGATTTCCGATGCCTGAGATATCCTGGAATCATTTCTGCTGACTCCCAACCTGGAGGAGGAACGACTGGTAAGTGTTATTTTCGATTTCTTTTTTTACATAAGATAAGCTTTCTAATGGCCGGGCAAAGTGGGGATGGACCTGTTGTCTTTTTAGTCGTATGCTGACCGGAGTTTTTGCATCCTTTCTGGGAAGTGCATCTGAGAAGCTCATTGAACCCTACTGACTTAAACTTAAACTCATGACGATGCTATAAGTCCAGTGGGATTGGCCACCCACAGTGCCGGAGTCAAACTGACATTCGAGTTTGTTACCCACAATGTAGGAAGACACCAAATGAGAAATCACCTCTTGGGAATTCCCCGGCGGTCCAGTGGTTAGGGCTCAGTGCTTTCGCTGCTGTGGGCCTGGGTTCAATCCCTGGTCGGGGAACTAAGATCCCACAAGCCGCATGGTGCGGCCAGAAAAGAAAAGCCTCTTTCTTTGAATATACCTTTGTTTCTTCATACAGAGAGTTCTATTAAAATGGACTCTGCATCTTCAGAAAGAACATAAGCATTGCTCCTGCCGCTCTTGTCATCGTGCTTCTTGCTGATTATCCAGATTGTCTTAGCTTTTATTTCAGAAAAGCTTGCCCCAAAATGAGAGTGGGTTACTGCTCATCTCTAGTGCCGTCGGTTACTTGTCTGTTTAGGAGCCTATATTAGTCATTGGTGAGTGGGGCACCAGGCCTGCTTAACTTCATTTTTTTCTTTTTTCTTTTACCGAGTAATAGTGAATTTACAATATTGTATACGTTTCAGGTGTACAACACAGTGATTCACGGTTTTTAAAGGTTGTATTCCATTTATAGTTATAAAATATTGGCTAGATTCCCTTGTCTGTACAGTGTATCCTTGTAGCTTATTTGGTTTCTGCATAGTAGTTTGTACCTCTTAATCCGCTACCCCTATCTTGCCCCTCCCCACTTCCCTCTCCCTACTGGTAACCACTAGTCTGTTCTCTATGTCTGGGAGTCTGTTTCTTTTCTGTTGTATTCACTAGTCTGTTTATTTTTTAGATCCCACATATAAGTGATATCATTTATTTGTTTTTCTCTGACTTATTTCACTAAGCAAAATACCTTCCAAGTTCATCCATGTTGTTGCATATGGCAAAATTTCATTCTTTTTTATGAGTGAGTAGTATTTCATTGTGTGTGTGTGTGTGTGTGTGTGTGTGTGTGTGCATGTATACACATATATATATGTGTGTGTCACATCTTCTTTATCCATTCATCTGTCGATGGACACTTAGGTTGCTTCCATGTCTTGGCTATTGTAAATAGTGCCGCAAGGGACGTTGGGCTGCGTGTATCTTTTCGAATTGGTGTTTTCGTTTTCTTCGAATATGTACCCAGGTCATATGGTGGTTCTATTTTTAGTTTTTTGAGGACCCTCCCTACTGTTTCCACACTGTTGTTGTTATCATTTTGGACTTGAGCATGTGTTATATTCAGTAACTCCCACATTAGAGATCCCTCCCATATGAGGGCTTCTGAGATACAACGTAAAAGATACTTGACAAAATCCAAGGGGTTTTTTACTGTAGATTTGTAGTATTGTCTGAAGTCCGAGAGGGTTGTGCCTCCAGCTTCGTTCTTTTTCCTTGGGATCGCTTTGGCAATTCTGAGTCTCTTGTGGCTCCATATAACTTTTAGGATTATTTCTTCTAGTTCTGTGAAAAGTGTCATGGGTAATTTGATAGGGATCGCAGTAAATCTGTGGAGTGCTTTAGGTAGTATGTCCATTTTAACAATACTAATTCTTCCAGTCCAAGAGCATGGGATATCTTCCCATTTCTTTGAATATCTTCAATTAAAATTTGAGGGATTTTAAAAGAGGTTTTGGTTACTTTAAAAAATTTTACATTAATGTGATGCATCTCCAAGTATGCACTAGGAACCCCTGGGAATCCTTGAGACCCTTTCAAGGGGTCCAGGAGGTCAAAACAATTTTCCTATCAGTACTAAGATGTTATTTGCCCTCTTCACTCTCCTTTACAAGTACACCGTGGAGTTTTTCAGAGGCTACATGATGTGTGTAGCGCAGTGGACTGAACACAGAAGCAGAGATTCCCGCTGTCGCCCATTAAGACAGTAGAGAGGTTTTCAAAATGTAAAACACGCTGTTCTTCTCACTAAATTTTCTCTTGTTTGGAAAATACGTTCTTTTTCACATAAAATATTATACATGTGAATGTGTGGGTTTATTATTGTCATTTTAAAATGCAGAAATATTTTTCTTAATTCTCAGTTGATTTGTGATACAGTAGATGTTGCTACAGCTCACCTTAATAAAACCTCTTTGGGGATCCTCAGTGATTTTTAAGCACATAAAGGGGTCCTGAGACTAAGACATCTGAGAACCACTGCCTTAATGCAAGAGGTTCACTCACCATTTTGTTATGAGAAGACCCACAGACCAGATTCTCTTTCAGACTACGCAGTCCAGATTTTCCATGACGCCGTCAAGAATGGCAGATTTGAGTGCAACCTGAAACCCAGCACGAGACTCCCGATGATGTACATTGATGACTGCCTCCGGGCCACCCTGGAGGTCATGGAGGCCCCAGCAGAGTCCCTCTCCATGAGGACTTACAATGTCAATGCCATGAGCTTCACCCCCGCGGAGCTGGCCCAGGAGATTCTCAAGCACGTTCCAGAATTCCAGATCACCTACAACGTGGATCCTGTCCGACAGGCCATAGGTTGGTACACCATTGCAGAACCCCTCAAGGCCAAAATTAAGCTTCAGTCCGCCCCACAAGTCCTTGAGAACATAAACGGAGGAAGATAAGGAGAGCTCAGCACCTTCCCAAGGGGCCCGACACCTGGAGAAGGAGCTGCTGTTGCACCAGAGCCAGCAGATGCTACGGTTTTGGGAAATGATGTCTAAAGTGGGTGAACTAGAACCGTCCAAATAAACAGCTTGTTCTCACCTCACCATTTGCCAGTTTAAACGTAAAACAAGCAGGTGTAGTATGAGAGCAGCCCTGGGCTCTCAAAGGCTGTGACTGTGCCCCTGTGTGAGTGCCATCTGAGCACAGCAGCCCCACCTTACAGGTCTGCATGAGACTTTCCTCTGAGGTGACAGACTTCTAATCTAAGAAGGTGACTGTGTGTGTGCCCGTGATAGCTGCTCTGCTCTGCTCAAGGGGGGATTTCAAATAGGACGTTTCTTTCGTGGATGATAATCCTTTATTTAAAATGTTCTAGACCTTTTTGCAAATCTAGAGCCTGAATAACTTAAGCTCCTCTTCCATATCTTGTCCTAGCCGATGGTTGGCCAATGAACTTTGATGATAGCAACGCCCGGAAGGACTGGGGGTGGAAGCACGATTTTGACCTCCCGGAGCTGGTGACGACGATGTTGAACTTCCACGGTTCCGAGAGCAGAGTTGCCCAGGCTAACTGAAGGGGCCGGAGGAAGAGCTCGTGAGTCCTGGGCGGCTGTCCAGGGAAAGTCAAAATAACCCCGAGATTCCAGACCCCGAGGGATCTAGATGATGTGGAGTTGAAGGACTAACTGGACTGTTTTCGAGCTCATATGGAACTGCCAGATGGAGAATTGACTTGGCTTTAGCGTTTTCTCAATGCTGTAGGTTTGGTGGCAGGACCTCTGGAGCCTTTGCTGTCTGCCTAAACTTGTCCAAACACACAAATCACAGAATGAAGACTTAAGTCATAATAGTTTTCCATTTCCTTAGTTAAGATGAAGGAACCATTTCCGAGAAGGTACAAGTATGTGATGTTTGTATTAAATTAAACTTAAATATCACTCCTAAGGCTCCATTATTCTCTTGACTAAGACCGGAGATTACATTTTAAAGGCTATCAAAGATAATCTCCCAATTTAAAAGAATTCTTTACTATCCCATCAGAACATAAAAAATGCCTGATGTATTAATCCCATGTTCACAACGTTCAAGAGATTGATTGATTGTTGATTGATTGATTTTTGGCTGTGTTGGGTCTTCGTCGCCACGTGTGGGCTTTCTCTAGTTGCGGCGAGCAGGGGCTACTCTTCGTTGCGGTGCACAGCCTTCTCCTTGCGGTGGCTTCTCTTGTTGCACAGCACAGGCTCTAGGTGCACGGGCTCAGTAGTTGTGGCTCGCGGGCTCTAGAGCGCAGGCTCAGTAGTTGTGGCACACAGGCTTAGTTGCTCCGCGGCATGTGGGATCTTCCGGACCAGGGCTCAAACCCGTGTCCCCTGCACTGGCAGGCGGATTCTTAACCACTGCACCACCAGGGAAGTCCCTGTTCAAGAGATTTTTAATGTGTCAAAAATGATCACTTCCAATTTATTTGTCTGTAAGAAGATAAACTGGTAGGAAACTAAGAATATCAAGAGATGATCTAGGGGACTCCCCTGGCGGTCCAGTGGTTAGGACTCCACGCTCCCAATGCAGGGGGCGCGGGTTCAATCCCTGGTCAGGAAACTAAGATCCCATATGCCACACAGCGTGGCCAAAAATAAATAAATAAAATTTTTTTAAAAAAAAGAAAGAAAAGAGATGATCTAACTAGTAAAGGGGAGCACCTCTTACTTTAATTGCCTTCCTGTTGGTGAGCTGAGGGGTGGTGATCGGGACTGTGATCCCTTACCTGCCATGTCAGCCTCCGGAGGAGCTTGTCTAAATATACAGGTTTCTGGGCTGTACCCCTTCAGGTGGATTCAATTGATAGAGATGGGAATCTCGAAGGACCACTGGTTATTCTCTTCCAGCTTCAGCCCCCTAATTTAGACCAATCCCAAACACGATTTTCTAAAGAGAGCTTCCTTACTACAGCCTTTCTATACACTCTTAGGTGAGCCTTCAGAAAAGCTACGCTAACCCTCTGAAGCAGTTACTGTCTAAATATATAGACTTACTTTCTCCAGCTACCTCAGGATGTGCTGCCCCTGAAATCACTGGAAAGTGAAACTCCAGTCAATTGATCATGGATCTCATGGACACAGCTGTCAAGGATTAAAAGGCATTTCTACTATCTGCTTAATGACAGTGTTATGTATTTGGAACTTGTAACTGCTCGGTAGAAGCGTGAATTGTTTTCTTTTGAGGCGTAATTGGATTTGAACTTCTAGATGATTATTTAATAGTTATGTTGATACAGTTTCCTTCCCTACTTAGTATAATTAAGCTTACATTTGTACGTTTGATTTGCTAAAACCAAACAGCTAGTGTTAAGGTCTTTTTTTTGCTTTTTACAACTTTATTGAGATATGTTTCACATACCATAAAATTCACTCATTTAAAGATTGCAGTTTGGTGATTTTGCAGTATATTCAGAATCGTGCAACCGTCACTATGATCTAATCTTAGGCCATTTCAGCGTCTCACAAAAAATCCTTCCCCAGCCTACGCCACTACTAATTTACTTTCTGTGTCTATGGATTTGCCTGTTCTGGATATGTCACATAAGTGGAATCATACAATATGTGGTCTTTTGTGAGTGGCTTCTTTAATTTAGCATAATGTTTTCAAGGTTCATCCATGTTGTAGCATGTGTCAATGCTTTATTTCATGGCTAAACAGTGTTCCGTTGTGTGAATGTACGACATTGTTTTGTCAGTTCATCAGCTGAGGAATGTTTAGGTTATTTGCACTTTTTTTAGTTTTTAGGAATAAATGCTGTTATGAATACTTGAGTAGATAATTTGGTTTTGAAGCTCATTAGAAACAATATTTCTAATCGTTCAGTTTGAAAAACAGTTGTTCTCTTAATTTATTCTCAATTATCTTAAAGGAACAGAAATTAATTCCTTCCTTCCATGTGAAGGGAAGAAGCAACTGAATTGAATGACCCTTTGTCCCTTAGACCCTAGTCTTCCAGAGTTTCCACCAGGTTCCTCGCATGACCTTGTAATTGGGGCCCTCTGGAGGGATTTGTTCTAGAATGGCTTCCTTTAATCCTTCTAAATCTATAAATCCACCTCCGGAAGAACCTCAAAGAAGCATAAAAGAAGAAATGAATCCTTCAAATTACATTGGTGATTCTTAGTCACTGACAGCTTTGCGCTTTAAGGTTAAAATTAGAGTTGCCCTTTCTATCCAGATGCTCAATATCAGGTGCATATCTTGGGATCCCAGGAGATGACTCAATACTTTACTGTAAAAGCTTTCCTTTCTGTTGGGAGAAAGGGTTTTTTGTAGTTAATTTGAAAGTGATCTGAAAAGCTACTTAGAAGGGGAAAGTGTGGGTTGCATCACAAAAATAGTTTTCTGATTTTTAAATAAAGAAGAATACAAAGCTTGACCTTGCTCTGATGTTTTTCATCCTGAAGATTTCTACAGGCTACCAGTGTGGTTACTAGATCTGCTGGTGTGTTTTCTATGTGGCATTGCCATGATGCGCCTTTGTGTCACTCCACAAACAGCACAGCCCATGGCTGGTGTCAAGGTGTACTGTTTAAAATCGAGAAGCAGGCTCTGGGCAATGAATACTATTGCACCGTTTAGGATACTTACTGTAGAAGGGGATGGGCGCTAATACTATTTTTTTTTTTTAACTCATATAGGCCAAATTGCCAATTTGTTATTGTATTTTATGGTAAGGGCATGAGTGTTTTCAAGAGGCATTTAAAATTTTTTTAACTTAAAAATGTTTCTATTAAGAATTTAAAAATTAAAAGACACATAATGAAAAAAGCTGTCTTCTCCTCTAAACCCAATCAATAACTGATGTTAACAGTATAGTGTGTGCCTTTGTTTTTCCCCGTATGCTTACACAACATGGTATTATATAGTCAACTTTTTTTTTTTTTTTTAACTATAAAAGTAGGGCTAAGACAACACTGCTGAAAGTTTCGGAAGAGTCACTTGCCATTTTTGCTGCCTGACGTACTAGCTGTTTTTTTAATATTCCCATCCAGTCTTCTCATACGTGTTACAAGTAACTTAAATGTAGTGTTGATATTTACCATTTAAAAATAGCTGTGTAATAATTCATTGAGTGGAATATCATAATTATGCAATCATTCCACTATTTAATTGCTTTATTTAGAAACCCAGAAGTATGCCTACTAAGTCAAAAGGTATAAACGCTTTCCTTGCCTCTTAATTTTACACAAATTCCTATTGAGAGTGTTGAATTAATGATGAAATTCTGCTCTACTGTCAGTAGCCCTTGGTACATATTTACTTAGTAAGATATAGTTTACATGTCTTTAAAAGTTTGATTTTTTAAAAAAAGTTTGGGACTATAACCTTTACTTTTTGCTGGATAACCTTAAGATTCTAATTGAAATAGATTTGAATTAATGTAAGAAAGGTACTAAATCACAGACTAATCTAACGGTAACTGCCTCTAACTTCAGTGTATTGGTTCCGTAAGCCACCGATGAAGATAGTAATTCTGTTTTTTAGTCACATTTTATTAAGATAAATTAGGGTACTTGCTTTTTTGAAAATAGGATGATCTCGTCAATTTTTATGGTTTTAATATCATGTGTGCTTGACTATACTGAGACTAAATTGAACAGACGATGCCTCTTCTTCCGATGTGAAGGAAGATCCTCCCAAAAGCTTTCTCTCTGCCCAACTTAAACATTTAACTTTTAGGGTTGCAGATGAGATGGTAAAACACCTCCTTTTAACATTAGCTATGTGTTTCAAATGTGTTCATCTATAAACCAAGAAATGAGCTTTTCCCCCATTACCTTCATGTTTCATGAGTGTTGCACACACTTCAAATTCACTGTTGAACGTTGACTTTTATAGTCACCTAACAAATCAAGAGCAAACGATCTTTTCTTCCAATTTGTTTGAGATGCAGCATTCTTTTCATCCATTGTGTGATGCTGTTAATGGAAATTTTATCCCAGACCACAAGGACCCCTCTGCGCATAACACCAGAACATTCAAAATACATCCTGTGATGGCTACGCATCGCCTACGGTGTTGCTTTCCGTGCTTTTTAAATGGTGACACCCAACACTTGAAATTGTAGCTTTATGATCTCAGGGAGCATTAGCAAATCTGTTTTGTTTTTTTTTTAAATAGTTTATTTTTGGCTGCGTTGGGTCTCTGTCGCTGCACATGGGCTTTCTCTAGTTGTGACGAGCGGGAGCTACTCTTCGTTGCAGTGCGTGGGCTTCTCAATACGGTGGCTTCTCTTGTTGCAGAGCACGGGCTCTAGGTGCGTGGGCTTCAGTAGTTGTGGCATGCAGGCTCAGTAGTTGTGGTTCGTGAGCTCTAGAGCTCAGGCTCGGTAGTTGTGACACACGGGCTTAGTTGCTTAGTGTTATTCTCTGTGCCAATAAGTGTGTGGATGAGAGCATTTCTTAAAACAATTTATAAAAACAAAATCATTGGTGCTATAAACCAGCTTTACAAGGATATCAAGTTAGTCTACTTTTAACACCTGCTTCAGGAATGTGGCTAAATGTACCAGACTCACCCCAAAACTACAACTCAGGTTCCTAGGGGTTGAAAAGCTGACGCCCGCCCTGCAGGTTTGATGCTGTTTTTGATGGTGCTCAGGTAGGTGATACTGACACTATTCCAATTGCCCCTCCCTGGTCGATAGCGGTTGTGCAATGGAGCCTGATTTCAAAGATGTTTGAGTGTGAAGAACATGTGAGTCTGAGTGTACATATCGAGATGTGGCTGCATTTGTACATGGCGGGGCCAGGGGTAGCCGTGCAGCTGGGCCACTGTTGGGCTCACCACCTGCCTTTTGCATCACTGGTGGGTTAACAGATCCAGTGGGCGCTAGGTGAGTTGCTGAGGGTGACAGGATGTGTACACCTGCGGAGGAGGAGAGGAGATGTGAACCGCCGGGA